TACAACTGTAGTGTATTTGATTTCTAACTGCATTTTTGAAGCTAATTCTACTGATAGTAAAAATGAACTTTTGGGATAGAACATCTACATATCAGTTTGAGACTTGTGCTAAAACAATATTATGATTATCAAACTGTTGCATACTATTAGGAAACTAGAAAAGATCACCATAGGGGCCTGGCCATCTGCTGTGTTAGTCGTTGGGGAAGAGGTAACAACTGCTGTTTTCTCCAGCCTGGTCTCCTAATTCAGCCATGCAAAGCACTCTGCCCTTCCCTGAAGGCCTGTATACCCTTTTGGCTTTTTCTGGACTCAATCCAAATGTCACTCACCTTTGAGACCTTCTAACTTCACCCACTATTTCTTCTACTAGATCTCCCTATTGATCTGCAGTTCCACTCCAGGATGTTACCATGCTTATGAATTAATTTACTTGTCATCTGTCTATCTCCGCTAACTAGAATATAAGTTCCACAAAGGCACTTTCTGGTCTAGTGGACAGCTATGGTCTCAGCCTTGAACAGTCTTTCATACAAAGTGGACTTTCAGGGAGTACTTGTGGGAGGGATGGGTGGATGGACACATGGACTGGGAAGGACAAGATAAAGATCCTGCTGTTCATAACCTAGTCACATTGGCTAACGTCCGCTCTCGGCCTCCATCATCTCTCACGTAAGTTGCTCCACACGTGGGCCCTTCTGATCTGCTTCGACACACACCTAGGCCAATCCTCTCCACACCGCTAAGTCCCTCTTTCGCTAGGGTAAAAGCCAAAGTTCTTCCAACAGTCTACGTGGCCCCCTCGATGTGGCCTCCTCACTGCTCCAACTCTCTCCCTTGAGTTCTACAGAACTGACTCCCCCTTCCTTTTCCTCAAAATGCCTGGCACCCAGGGCATTTGCTCCCAGCCATTCCCCTTCCCTGCAGTGTCTTTTTCCCAAGTAACTGGTTGGCTACGCAGCTTCCAGTCTCCATTGGAGTCTGACCTCCCTACAGAAGCCTGCATTGACCACCTTACTCAACACTGCAAGTGCCACCCCAATCCAACTTGCCCCTTTGTTATCTTCTAACATTCTGTACGATTTATTTTTGTATTGTCTTCTCTACTACCCCTCACTACAGTGCAAATTCTGTGAGGGCAGGAATCTACTACTTTGTTCACCAGTGATTCCCAGAAACTCAGAACAGAGGTACACAGCAGGTACTGTGTAGCTGCTTACATGAACTACCAATTTTGAAATTCAGATAGAAGTAAAGTCCCGGTACTGGTTCCTGAAATGGTGTACTCCATATGTCTCACACTTGGGCCCAGGGAGAGGGGATCCCACACTGGACATCAAGAAATTCCCAGGTTTGTGCGTCGCTGTCCCAGATAGCAGGAAGGGTTCCCTGAAAAATGAACCAAACTGCCTATAGCAGCGCTGTAATTCTTGTTCTAATAATTCTTGTCTTCTTAAAGCTCACTTCCATTTTATTTTCCCCATTAGACCTTTTTGAAATATTGTGTCTCACATTGAGCACCTCCCTAGTTTAGGGTAAATGGTAGAGTTCCATTACATATGACTGCTGGGGCATCCAGGAAATTCTGCCTCAGTTAGGTCTTGGCTACACAAACCTACCAGGACTTCCTGCAAAATGTAACTCTACTGGCCAATGGAATCAACCAATCCCAAAAAACTAGCATAGATATCTGGGCACCAGAAACAATTATGGCTAGTACCTCAAATGCATCAAGGTCCTGCGTCCTATGTTAATTTCATGCTTTAAGAAACAAACTGGCTCCACAAGAACTGTAGGATAAACCTGTTTTGGGTTTTTTTTTTCCTTTTTTTGGCATCGGGGACCTTGCGCTGGTTTGGTACCACTGAGCTAAATCCCTGGCCCCTAACCTGTTCTTAACAGATCTCAAGAATGTCTGGCATTTGCAAGCACAAAGTCCTGAGTTCAATCCCCGGAACCAAAAAAAAAAAATTATTCCTGGCAATGTGCACAGGGGAGACACTTTTTTTTTGGTACCGGAGATCGAACTTGGGTCCTTGCGCTTGCGAAGCAGGCCACCGAACCACTGAGCTAAATCCCCAGTCCCGGGACACTTTCTGACCTCATCACATCCAAGAGTGGTAACAGGACACAGTGACAACCGCAGGGAAAAGGGCAAGTTTGTGTTGAGCTTTAAAGAGAACACACATGGTGGGCACCTGTCCTCCCTCCCTCTCCCTGCACGCACAGGAACAAGGAACTGAAGCTCACATAGCCATCCTGTGAGGATGAAGACCATGCAGCAAAGACAGCAGAGCTGAAAGACAAGACACCTACCTCGTGCGTGCCTAAGGTGGGCGTCTCCTACAGTACCGGCCTGACCAGCTGATAGTCCGGCACATGCCAAGGGTAAGAGATACACAGGGTTCCTGCTCTCGGGGGCTAACAGGAGAATCAAACATTCACCACAGTGGGTGTGCACCAGAAAGCATTTGTCATGCTTCATGTGCATTAGAAAACAACCGTGTGCATTAGGCGCACTCACCCACTCACACAGATGAGTCACAAGCGTGGCAAGGCTGGCTATCAGTCATGGCAGTCCAAGCTCTGGAGCTAACCATTTTAACTGCAAGGCTATAACGGTCTCTTGCCTTGTCAAAACTTCTCACTCAAAGGGATGACAGTTCTGGATGGAAATGAGTATCAGCAATAGTTGCTATATGCCAAACAAGGGAGAATATCCAAGGTTCCCATAGAATCGAAGGAGCTTTTCCAGATGTGTAAAAAGCATGGATGTGTGTACCAGGAAGAAGTCTCAGGGATGACAGCAGAACACAATTGTCAGGCAGAAGAGACGGATAAGTAGATGGCCAACTATGAAGACAAAGTGAAGCTGAATAAAGCCGAATGCAGTACTAATCACTCTGCCAAGAACTTGACTGCCCAGGGGACACAAAAATCACATCTGCGTAGTTGCTACCAAGTGTAGTATCATCAATATAACCCAGTCAACATCTAATTGGACCAGTACAATGTACACTGAAGACTATTAGCTTGAAGCAAATAAAACTGGGCTCAAACTTTTGTGCCATAATGTATTTCAGCCTTGAATAAATAGCAAGAGGTTTTTTGTGGTATATTATGATGATCATGGAATTTCTTCCAGCTAATAACAGATACTAACTATTCTTGAAAAGCACAGTATGGTGTGACAGAGATAGAAAAAGACTGCAAGGACGGTTGCTTTGTTTCCCCAGGGGCTGCATTTTCAACACTTCTTACAGATTTTTTCATGGTTTCCAGGTTAATCTTTGAAATCCACCAGTAATAACAGTTCTCTTTCAGACACTTCACAAGGTGTAGCAGATATTTTCACAGAATTCTGTCTAGCATCTCTTCTCTGAGATCTTTCCCTTTAAGGTCATCTCCAACTCTACCCATGCTCGCAATGCAAAATTTTAGGGTAAAGGGACAGTAGTAAACATAAATTTAAAATTGTCTCTGTCTCTTAAACATTTAAGCCTAGTTTAATCTAACCCTGCCGTGTTAACAGAGCCCAAGCAACATTTTGCCATGAAAACCTTACTCGATCTGCTTTATATACTGTCTCATTAGGTAACCCAGATACTGTACAGCAAGCACCTGTCACAATATCAAGACGAAAATTGTAGAGGACATGTTTTCCCTTCCTACTACAGTACAGGTGTCTTTCATAGCAGGTCACAGAAGCATTTTTAAAAGTGAACTAAATTCTCCTCTGGAAAGTGCTGATACAGTCTGTTTCAAACTATTACTAGTTGACACTTTCTTTTTGTGGTACTAGGGTTTGAACTCGGGGCCTTCACACTAAACTACATTCCTAACCCTTTTTTTGCTAAAGTTTCTAAGTTGTTCAGGAGAGCCTTGAACTTATGATCTTCCTACCCCAGCTGCCCACCACAGGCATATGCCCCCACATTTGGCTTTATCTCTGGAGAACCAAATTGGTCCAAATTTCAGCCCAACTTTAGAACTTTAACTTTTACAAATGTCTAAACTAGGTAGGACGTGGTGTGCACACCTGTAATCCCAGAACTCCAGAGGCTGAGGCAGGAGGATGTCACCGTGTTCAAGGATAACCTGGGCTACATAGTGAGTTCAAGGCTAGTTCAAGGCTAGACAAGACCCTATCTCAAGACAAAGCAAAACCCCTCCAAAAAAGAAAAATGTCCACAAAGTTTATTGTATTTCCTTTAAAAGCTAGCAGGATGAGATGGCCACTCAGAGCCTTTCAATCTTCAAAATTAAAGGCTATAATAACCATAACTGATTAACCCTTGAGAAAGATTTGTATCATAAACTTCAATGTTTTGATACCAACAGGCTTATTACAGCAATTTCCAAATTATGTCTCAGGTTTTCCAAATATAATTTTCTTATCTAGAAATTAAAGTTTACAAAATCCTCACTCGCAGATTTCACGAAGATCTGACACAGCTGGCCTACAATCTTCATACAGCATTACTAACATATACCTTACAGAGCAACAAGACTCCCCGAGTTCCCCCAGAAGATAACTTTACAATGAACTAAGCATCTTACCGTTCATACGTGGACTAGTAACACAGTAAAAGCCCATTTTGAAGATGGGGGGGGAGATAAAAAACAGCCATTCTACTAAAGCCTAATTCTGAACTGTAGATACAACCAACATTTAAACATACCTCCACATAACTGAGATAAGAAAAGGAACTTAGACCCAGTGGCCAAAATAACCTGTCTCTAACACCCTCAGATTCCAGCATATCACAGGATAAAGTGCAAAGGGAGGGAGAGAGCAACAGGCTATCAAGCACCACACTAAGCTGAAGCTAAAGACGCCCACTGTTTAATCTCAGCTATGTACACTAAATTTCACAATAATGGTACGTAAGTGAGCTTAAGGACAAGTCAACATTCTGCTCCCATCTAAGATTTACAAGCGCTGACCAAAAGCTGGCTTATTGCTGTAATTTATCCCAAAGTGACAAAATTAGACAAAGTATGGTAAAGACTGCTTTATTGGTGACAGTTAGTACAATTCAATAAATATTGATCCCCAAAGAAGAGCTCAGTTATTTATCATATTATGGGTCCAGGGAGCTGACTAGAACTGAGCCACGCAACTGCTGGTCTGAATGAAGTCATTCCGGCTTCTTGGGAAATGATGCCACAGCCAACTGATAGATGGCATATGCAGTTCCTAAAAAATACAAATATGAACTTACAAAAACTCTGAGATTTAAATATATATGCCAACGCCAAAGTTATACAATCAGAGCAAAGTTGGCATTGATTACCTTAGCGGGAACACAAAAATGTTTTGTGATAGATCCTAGCAATATTTTAAATAAATGTATGTAAAATATATTTCATGTAGTTATAGTATGTCATTTTCTACAGAAAATGTTAAGATATTACACAATAAGGCGTCAACTTAAAAGTGTCACAAGAATTTTTTAAATGAGATTAAGAATGCATATTTCTATATTCTGCAACAATGCATAAGATTCTAATAAGATTACTGACATTTAGAAATGGGAGGAAAGGAGCTAAAGGTGTAGGGAAGGTGTGATACGTAGGGGAAGAACAAAAAGGGAAAAGAAAAAAATGTGAGAGAATGAAAAGATGAAAATAAAGTGTTTGTAGATGGGGAGGGGAGGAGGGGGTGAAGGGAGGCCAGAGGTAAGGGGAAAAAAATGAGAATCAAGACTTGCCATGTAAAGGTACATGATCCCAACAATGAATGTAACTGTACTGTATCCCTAAATGTACCAATAAACTCAATAAAAAAAAAAAAAAAAAAAAAAAAAAAAAAAAGAATGCATATTTCTATATTGACCTAAGATTGCCTGAGAAATACTAAGGGATATTCAAAAAGCACCCTTTCTCCAAAGAGTCAAGAAATATGTATGCCTCCCCTAAAATGTGCTATCAACATAAAACCAAGAATGAAAGTAGCCAAATTTAATATTAAAAATAGCTAATAAATGGAATTTTATTTTAAAGCTAATTACCAGAATGCCTAAGAAAAGATTACACTGGCTGAAAAGATTATAGGACATTATCTTCATAAGAAAGCTGAGTTGGGCATAGCAGTGCACACCTGTAACCCCAGCACTCAGGAAGCTGAGGCAGGAGGATCGCCACAAGTTTGAGACCTGCCTTGGCTACATAGTGAGTTCAGGGTTAGCCTGAACTACACAGTGACACCCTGTCTCAAGAAAACAACAAAAAAAACAGAAAGCCCAAATGACACTATCTGTGTCTTGACCCATAAATGCCTCTTCCATTTGTCAGAAGTATGTGCTGTGACATTCCCATCAATACAATGGGGACAAAGTAATTATGCAAATCTTGTTTACCTTACTTTCCATCATTCAAATTCCTATGTTCCCACTACTCCAATGTGTGATATTCTTGCTAATACTCATGGACCTAATTCACTGAAAAAAAATATAAATCTGTTTACATATGTAAAAATTAAATTGTGAAATAGGAAGAAAAGGGCTAAAGGTGTAGGGAAAGTGGGAAGGGTAGGGAAAAGGTAATAAGGGAAAAAAATATGAGAAAATGAAAAAATGGAAATAAAGTGTTTGTAAATGGGGAGGGGAAGAGGGGGTGAAGGGAGGGCAGGGACAAGGGGAAAAAATGAGAAGCAAGACCACCTGTCATGTAAGGGTACAAGATCCCAATAATGAATGTAACTGTGCTGTATACCTAAAATGTACCAATAAACCGAATAAAAGAAACAATAAAAATAAAAATTAAGTACTGTTTGGTACAAGTTTTATTTTAGTCATAAATATGTATGCACATGCTTTTTATGCAAAATGTGTTATTCTGTATCAGAGTTCAAATGTTTAAAAGTCTCTGTGATAGGAGCAAGTGGGTATTTGGGGCTGAAAAACAGGATCCAAGGCCATTAGTGATAACACTCAGAAAGACATCAAAACGTTCTCATAGCCTATGTTTCATTACCTTCTTGAATCCTTATGTCAGGTGCAACAGGGTGTCACATTCTAGAGGCAGACTGCCTACATTAAAACACTGTTGCAGCAAAAGAAAAGAAGTTATCATTGCCATCACTTTTCTATAAACATGCCAAATGTCTTACCACCAACTGTAAGAAACATAGTGGCTCTATACAGGAGGCCATCAGCTACCCCACCCTTTAGATGCACTGGAATATCATTGTCCTCCTAAGATTAAAAAAAAAAAAAAGACATTAATAGATGTGGCTCTTATTTCCAATTAAGTTTCAAAAGATAATCATTCATATAAAATGGAACAGCTCCTTAAAAACATTTTAAATATCAAAATATAAAAGAATTGTAATGTTCGCAATTTATTCTCTACTATATTTAAAATAAAAACTTCTTTTGAAGTTAATTTGAGAACCACTAAAGATTCCCCCCAAGAAATATATAAATATTAAAGCAATAAAATATATTTGATTTGAACAACTTATACATTAAAAAAATCAATTACCATCAATCACAGTTTAGATTTAGTTCTAGGGAACTACCCTTAAAAAAAGAGCGGACAAGTGATTTTCATTTTTGACCCTAAACTATATGTCTGGTTTCTAAACCAGGATCTGGCAAATAGTAGATATTTAGTATATCTGTTAAATGAAACACTTTACTTTTGTGTAATATATATAGTACTTTTTTAATCACCTAAAATTTTACAAAAATAAATTGCTCCACTTTACTAGATCTCAGTATTTTAACATTTTTTTTTTGCTCAATAGTACCTTAAAAGCCATTTTCTTAGTCCATTTAAACTTATTCTTTTCAATAGTACTTCACTATGCAAAAATATATTAACTGCATTAATCAAATTTCTAATAATGGATATTTGAGCTATTGGGATTTTATTAAATTAAAATACTCGTTCCCATTTTTATATTCTTAGGCAATTATTTCTGTAGCAAAGAATCTTAAAAGTAGGCTTCCTGGGTGATTTGTTATGTTTTGTTTTGGTTTGCTTTTTTGAGACAGGGTCTCACTATGCAGTTGAGACTGACCCGGAACTCACTATGTAGCCCAGGCTGGTCTCGAACTCATAGTGGTCCTCCTACCGCAGCCTCCTGAGTGCTGGGATTACAGGCATGCGCCACCACACCCAGCTGATTTGTTTTTAATAATACTCTCAAATACACACCAAAACTTTTTACCAATTATATTACCACTTGGCATGCTATATGAAGGTACTGTGAATAAATGTACATATACCTCAGTAAACATTCCTACTTTAAATCCTTCTAAAATCTTGGCAACCAGGAAAGGGTAAAGTAACCTATTTTAATTTTTTGTTCATCTTTGTTTTAATAAGACTGGTGTACACGATAGCTTTTTGTTGTTGTTTTTTGAAAATGATTTCACTATGTAGTTTAGGCTGGCCTCCTCCTGCCTCAGCCTCATAAGTGCTGGAACTATAGGACTATGCCAGCACACCCGGCCCCAAGGTAGCATTTTACAGAAGCTACAATTTTTCAGTTCCAGCAACACATAAAGAGATGGCAACCCGATGATTTATAAAATCAAAGGGTAGTGATTACAGGTTAGGACCATTTCTTGGTGACACTGAGATGGCTAAATTGGCCCATGACAAATCTATGGCAGGGCAAAGAGGATGCAAGAGTAACCTGGAAGTACTGGTCAACTTCAGGGCCTCAAAATGCCTGGGCCTCAACTGCCAAAGCATGGTGGTGCTCTTACTGTGCAGGTAGTGTGGGCTCGGCTGGCAGTCCACCATTTAACCTGCTTCTAAGCAAAGCCACAGCGCATGGCCAGCAGTGTTTCCCACTCATTGCCTACTTTAGAGTTCACCTGGGGCAAAGGACAGGGAGAGGCAGTTCAGACAAAAAAACCAGCCATGGTTCTCAGGAATCAGCATCTCCTATACCTCAGCTCTTGGCTGTGGTGAACTTAACTAGAATTTGCAATAGATCTGTAGTTCTTTCTATAAAGAATATTAATCTTTTGCTATACTTTGAAAATTTCCTTTCAATTTGCTCCACCTTTTATACCTATAAATTTTAAATTTTTACATTACCAAACCTTATTAATTTTTCTCCTATACAGTTGCTCTGTTTTTCAAACATTTTCTTAGGAGGCTTCCCCATGCCTAAGATTATAAGAAATATTCTTTATATTTTAATATTTTGAGAAGGTAACATTTATATATACAATTTATTTTCTCAGTGTATGACGTAACAAAGGGTGGAACTTTATTTTAAATAGCTATTTTTTTCAGTACTAATTTATTATAGCCATTCACACTGATATGACTGTATCCTTTAGTACATATTAAATGTCCACATATGTGTCTGATCTGTTTCTGGGTCCTTCCCATGGTCTGTCTATTCCTATACAATTATTCCCTTCAAGCATGCCAATTCATCATAAACTTCTCCAAAACAATTTATCATTGATCTACACCCCTTTCCTTTTCTCAGCTTGCCCAAGGTCTCTAAGATTCAGCAAATGCTGAAGCCAGCTATCAACGATTTTTTTTTTTTTTTTTTTACTCCTGATACAAAAGACTCATTAACAAACTGATATTTCTAGATTTACTTCCTATTTCCACCTTCTGGTACTCTAATTATGACAAATATCAATCTCCTTTAAACCATTCCAGTACCTGAAACAGCTTTTGCTTCTGTGGAACTTTATTTTCAAAATGCCTGCGTGAAGCAGTGCTGATGGTCCTCTGGGCAATCTGTCGAAGAGCCTGAAGTGGGAAAGTCACATACATTAAGCAGATTTAGAGCCTAAAGAAACCTTTGAAAGCAGCCATTTTCAATCCTTCCAGTTACAGGACACTGACATCTAGTTTGTCAATAACAAATCTATGAATAAAACAGAATAAAATCACAAATTTATGGACCAGCATCCTAATTTTTCAATTTGTTGTCCCTCCTCTGCTATGCACCTTATACATTTCAGTCTCCAAAGACTATATTCTTGACCCTTGTCTGAGTTGAACCACCAGCATTTTGTAGTCTCTGAGAAAAACATTAATATGCAGGTATTACAAAAGTAAATGACTAACAAAAATAGACTAAGTTCAAACGTTTTTATGTAATATCCCCTATATTATTAAAAATCTAATGCGTGATACCAAAACACACTAGCATGACTCCTATTTAATTAATATGTTTCCCTCGTTAAATTTTGGTGGTGCTCAGACGAAACCCACACTACTGCATATGCTGGGGGAAAGTTCTACCACTGAGCTACGTTCTCAGCTACCTAAGGGAATTTTAATAGGGTATAAATCTTTTTAAAAGGACTGTATTGCATACTGAATTGAAGAATGACATAAATGTATGCTCCACTTTCTAAAGTAAATAATATTGAGAAGCTTCGTGAAACGTTTGCTAAATACAGTAACACAAAAGAAATTGATCGTTAATGTTCCTTTTTCCCCTAAAATCCTAGGAAATATTTCACATGCCCAAAGTCGCAGAGCGATAAATGGCAATGTAGAAGGGGCTCGTGAAGGCAACCCTACACTTTAGCCACTGGCGACACCTGAAACTGAAGGACTTAGGATGCTTGCCAGAACCACTGAAACCTGCAACCTTCAGAAGCCTAGGACACCTTTCCGCCTAGTGCTTCCGTACGTCACAAACCCACCAGGGCCGACTCATTTCAGAGCGACATGGCACCAAGGACCTGCTAGCTGCGGTGGTGACGGTCACCACAACTCGTGATCGCAGTGCAGCCTCCCTTGCCTTTTCTCATTTGCCTGGCGAGAAGAACCGACGGAAAGTAAGGCCGCGCGAGGACGAGAACCAAGGTGACTTCAGGAACCGCCTTCGGCCCTCCCATGTTTCCGTACTCGACTCTTAGCCCGTGCTCCCGACCCCTACCACCGTCGCGAATACAAACCCAGAAACTCCTTACCAGCAGATTCCGCAGCATCTCGCCCAGATTTCAGCGCACCAACCTTGACAACTGACCGCTAAAAACCTAACGCCACCCCAAGCCCCGAAACCGGAACCGGAACCGGGGCCGGAGCGACCTCCCGGTTTTGCGCAAGCGCACACGAATACAAATCCTTCCCGAAGCGGAAGCAGCTCGCGCTGCCCACCGGAGGGCGGAAGGAGATCGCGAGCGCCGGGGACCCTCGGCCAAGCTCTCGCCGCCCGCTGCTGGGGGCCCGGCTCTCGGTCGCCTCCAGGGGTGAGCAGTGGAGACAGAACAGCGAGTCGGAGTACTCGCGTAACGACCTCAGGTAAAACCAGTACGAGAACGGGCTGTCACATAAAATTGGTGTTTTGAGCGAGGAGCTGTGAACGGAGCAACCTTCGAGCTACCGCTCAGCCCCGAGAGAACAGGCCGCGAAATGTGGTGGTGACGCTGGGGACACGGACGACTCCGTGCACAAACGAGTCGCCGCAGACACGGCTGTGGGGACGGAACCCGCGCGGCCTGAGAAGTACTTCAAGGGGGCCCACAGCCGTGGTCCGCCTCCTGGGCGGTGCTGTCCAAGTCGGCCGGGAAGATAGGCGGTGGGTGTGTTTTGCGTCGTCCGGTCTTTCTTAATTCTCATCACAAAGGTCTCTGTTCCCACAGGAAGGATCTCCACCTTACCACGGACTTACAGATTATTCTACTGGCATAAACTATCGGTATCAACTAATGGTCCCTGGCTTCAGAGAAAGGTGAAATATGTGGATAAAGATTGGTTAGTATTAAAATTATTCTAATCCTTAGAGGGGTTTTTTCCCTCCACCCTCTACTTCTTGTTCATCAGTTCACCAAATTACCTGTCCCAGTTCAAATTCTCTTCCTCACCAAAGTTTATGAAAACCCAGTTTGTGTCTTCCTTCAGAGACTGAAAGGATCTGGTGTTTCTTCTCTTCTGAATTATGTACTGTAGCCAAATCATTAAGCATAATTACTACATGCCAGTTGCTACTGAATGAAGACTTCAAGTCTGTCTATAATTTGAACTTGTTAAAACTGTTCTGTTTTCTCCATTTAGCGAACTAGATTGTAAATATCCTAAGAACAGATCGTCCTTCTCACCAGTTCCTTATTACAGCTTAAAGAGGTGACATCTAAGGGGAAAAAATGAGAACCAAGACCTGTCATGTAGAGGTACAAGATCCCAACAATGAATGTAACTGTACTGTATCCCTAAAATGTACCAATAAACTCAATTAAAGCTGAAAAAAATAAAAAAAAAAAGAGGTGACATCTAGAAAGCTATGACTCTGCCTCAAAAGAACCAAGAATTTTTGAAAGAAGAAGAAAATTGTCTGGCATTTATTGGATAACAAAAGAATAATGGTTCTTACAATGGATTGTTGGTGCGTGCTCCACCCCGCTCCATACTAGGAATTGAACCCAACTAGCGCTGAGCTAAATCCCAATCTCTCCCACCTTGTTTTAAAATTTTTAGGCAAGGTCTAGCTTAGTTGCCCAGGCTGGCCTTGAAACTTGCAATCCTCCTACTTCAGCCTCCTGAGTAGCTGAAATTACAGGCATGCAGCCCTGCATCCCAAACAGGTAGCTAGGAGTAACTAGATGTGTGTTGACATATATATATATGTGTGTGTGTGTGTGTATAATATGTATATTATATATTGACATATATATTATATATATAATATATTATATATATGTCAACACACATCTAGTTACTCATATATATATATATATATATACATACATACATATATATATATATATATTGTTTAAATGTTCACTTGCTGATGCTTAGTAAAGGTAGAATTTATGTGGCTAAATAACAAATTCTGATTATCAGATCAACATAGTAAGTATGCAGTGAATACATGCACACAGATGTAAATCTGGTGATAGAACAGATACAAACCCAACAACTAAAAAGATACAGATTTTAGCTTTTAGAAGGAGGAGAAATTTGTACAATTCTCACCTTTTTCAATTGCTGTACTTTGCCACTAAGTCAGACACATAGAAGGAAAAAATGAAGAGTAACTTTTGTACCTTTAGGAATGAGGAAGAGAAAACTAAAATCAGTCTTTTTTATTACTTGGGCAAAGTGCCGCGTAGTTTGTTACGGTAGGTTCCTCTCATGGTTGGTGCTGCTTTCCCTCAACTTTCCCCGCATTTCAACCACTTCATGTATGTCTGTGATTGAGTTGGTTTAGGGAAGTTTAAGAGCGTTGACAAATGTGCCATACTTTTTACAGCTGGAAGTGGTTGAATTACATTTGCTTTTTTCTCTCCCCTATTCAGTTAACCATGGAAACTTAGAGAACTTGGTAGGGCTACGTGACTTTAATTTTAATTGTCTCTAGGGGCTTTTAAGAGAAAGAATAATGTAGAATTTGTACAAAACATTTAATTTCCTGTAGCTATTGCATGAGATTGATCCAAACTAAATTTAAAAACATTTTTTTAATTAGCCTTTTCCTGTTTTGTTTTGTTTTTAGGTTTTTTGAGACAGGGTCTCACTATGTAGTTGAGACTGACCTGGAACTCACATGTAGCCCAGGCTGGTCTCGAACTCACAGTAATCCTCCTGCCTCAGCCTCCCAAGTGCGCCACCACACCTGGCCTGTTTTAAGTAGTATATCTGTTGAACTCTTTCAGTATAATTAGGAAACCTTTTTTTTCTCACACTGGAAGATTATCTAATTAGCCTGAGATTATTGGTATGGTAATGAAAGACTGCAAATTCTTGAATGACCAGGGAGAACTCAGAAATAACAAATGAGGAATTTTAATGATTGGTGTCATTAGAGAAAAGAGCAGTGACACCAAAATTTCTTAAGGGACTAAGAACTTTCTTTTAGGAAGGAAATAAGGTTTAATTCCTCTTGATTCCATACTTTCCTAAATAAAAGAATATATATTATATATTTATATATAGTTCTCATGAGGCCTCCGACGTCATGATTGTGTAGAAACTCAGTTCATTACACCCCCAGGGTGCATATTTTTTGAATAGGTGCCATCAATTATAGATAAGATCTTATTTTAAAATATGTTGCCACTTGTAGATTGACAGCCAGATGACATCTGTTACGTGCATAACAGAGAAATTAATTATTTAAAAAGGCGCATTGGAGAAGGGAAAACAGTCTTAGCTTATTCCAGGAGAAGCATCAGAAGATACAAAAAAAGTAGATCTTTAAAAACGTGTTCTTTTGTAAAGTATTAGCAGGCTATATGTGGCACATGTTTTTGCTTTCCATAATATATTAGTTTATTATATATTGTTATATATTATTGTTTTATTACATATTGTTTTATATTATGAATCAGACTGAAGCCTTGTGTGACTCAAATGTGTGTCAGATGGTGGACTGGGCCAGTATGGCCCCTCACCCAGTGGCTACTGTGGAGACCTAAGCCCTGGTCTGTGAAGTGTCAGGGTTCTGCTGAGTTAACATCCAGCTGAGGTCAGCCTGAAACCTTTTCCACGAATGATGGCTTCTCACTGACCTGATGGGTTGCTAGTTAATTGTGACCCAGTCCCAGTACTCATTTTTCTCTCTAAGCAAGATGGGCAGTGCTTCCCTTTTACAGGCCCCTGCTTGCATATCTGCTATCACAGGTGTCCTCCTCCTCTCCTTACCGTGCTTTTTATGAGTGAGCACTGGATGTCCTTGGTGCCTTTTGACTTTGCTGTCCAGTTTAGATCAGCGCCAACACCCAGCTTCTGCTCTCAACCCTCTGCCTTCTTCGGTAGATGTTGTTATTTTACTCTAGCCCAGGGCTAGCGAGAAAAACATGTAGGATAAATACAGTATACAGCCTGAGCCCTTTTCTCTTGGGAAGTCAAAAGATTAACAGATAATTACTTTTTCAGCCAGAGCTCTTAAACCAAGTGTTACCAAAGGGCTTCTCTCCAGCAAGCAAAGAGAACTGTCTTGGGAGGCAAGAGGCTCTGACATGTGTGACCCACTTGCAGAACACATCTTGTTTTAGATGGTTTGGGTTTGCTTTGTGATGGGAACAGCTAAATAACAAGAGAAACCCATTCTTTGTTTAGTCCTGTTACGGAAAGATAAGTTAGGTCTGGTTATGACCATGACTACCATTTCTGGCAGAAATAATATGATAAATAAAAGAGGTCAAACATAACCGCCCCCTACTCCCATCCCACTTTGCAGAACCCATTGCTCATGCTGCCTCTGGAGAAGCGAAGATACCTGCTGGCTTTGCCTCAGTTGTGTTTGCTCTACCGAGTATCTGCCTTAGGCTGATAGCAGAAAGCAGTGCATAATGTCTGAATGTAGAAAAAATGGGTGAGAAACCCCCCTTAGTTGTAGTCTCATCTTAGTAAACATTGAAACAATGAAATAACTCAAAGTAAAAGCGTGCATTTTGTCCCTGCTATACCAATCTGCTTATCCATAGTAAAAGACACCATAAGAAATGCAGAATTTAAAACTATTTCAAGGCAAAAGATTTAAATAACAGAGATGTTGCATACTTAAGTGATTTTAATTTTATGAATATTATTTTCCAACTCAAAAGAAAATATTGCACAATGCTTTAATATTTTAATTTTTTCACACTCTAGTAAGATTTCTGTGAACATAGTTCACTTTGAAAATAAGACAGAGAATGTCCTACTTGGTTAAATCATTTCAGTAACCTGTGAAGAACTGAAAGCAGGATATTACATTCATATAAATCACAAGTACATAAATTCACTTAGCTTCAGTGAAAAATAATTAACTTCTCAAAATTCACAAAACTTAAAGGAGACAAGAACTGGGTGAAAATAGAATGCATTTCCAAAGTTTTTTCTTAAATGTACTCTTTTGCTTTTGAAAATCCATTAAACCTATAAGAATTTTAAAAATACTTGACTACTTTGTAAGCCTCTTTATTGGAGAAGTTAATACCTGATGTTTTTAAAACAAAATCTAGATTAAATAAGTACACATCTGCAGTATTAAAATACACATCTGTGAAGGATAAGATAAAATTCCCCAAATAACATTTTAAAAATCCCAGAAAATAAATGATCACAAAATGAAATCTGTACACATTTCTGTTTAAATCAGTTTCTATCACATTTTCTCTAGGAAACAAATACAGTTTTTATTCAATAACTACTGAATTAATGCTGCAAATTATAACAATCAATTTCCCAAATTTCATAAACCTATTACAGAAATGTTTATTCCTTCCCTTTTTCCCCTTCTAATTAGTATTTTTCGTAGCTGCATAAAACTGGGCATAAAGAGGAGGACATGTGCCTCGGGTGACAAATGACAAATGTGTTTCTTTTAAAGTTCTACTTTGCACATTTGCTATTTTTTTCACATTTACTATTTTTAAGGCTGATCACACAATGTATGAACATGCTCTACTTTTGCTACTTATATTTTTTATTTTTTCCAGGAAAATTCAACCACAGCATTAATAGAAAGGACATAAACATTACATTCCCAATATGTCATTTATTCTCACTTTGCTACTGATTTGGAGAAGGCATGAATTATTTCAGTAGTGTTTATGTCTGTTATTCTTGCACTAGATATTCCACAGTTAATTTTTTATGGTAATATAGAATTAATTCTTCATGTTCTGTGAAAATTTTAGTTTTCTGAGATCTGCTGTATTTATTCTATCCATGTCTTCATCAAACGTCAATGCGTTAGGAAATACTTGCAAAAAAATCTGTAGAAGATGCTCTCAAAAAACAGGGCTATCAAAAAGAGAATCATAAAATATGATTTAGTTGAATTGTTCCTTCACCTGGAAACACTGATTCTATTTCAGGAAACATTTCCACTCAAAATGATTCCACTCCAAAATGATTCTCAATCTATTGATGACTGGAGATTCATTTATAATCAAAGTTGGATACATTATGTGGTTACAGTCCTAGAGTAGTGCCAGGATTGCATGTGCAGGAAGTGTTTTCAATTGGCCATCAATGGCAAGACGTTACTATTTACTATCTTGTTTGTTAAGAGTCTCTTGTTCTATTTCAGAATTAATATGATTAATGTAACTCATCTGGCCCTTGGGTCCTATTCCGGTTTAGACAGAGGACTTAGCCACAGTGCAGACAGAAAAGGCTCAGCACCAGGCTAAATGCATTCCCATCCTCACTGCAAGTAGCAAATTTCATTATCAATTCAGGAGAAACAAGATGCAGCTCAAAATAGATATAAATTGCTAGTAATATTTTAAACTCAAAACCTATTTAAAATCTTGTCTGCTGACCTTCTACTAGCAGTACAGTGACATTCCCACATGTTGAGAAAAAGTTATTCATTTCAAATGCTTGTCTATGATCTATCCAAATATTGTGCCATCAGAGGTATAAACATTGGCAAATAGGAGACTTAACTGAGTCAAAAAATATGATACGAAAAAAAAAAAGTTGTCTAATTGAAAATGTCATTATAGTTCAGCATTTGCACAAAACAAAACCCAGTAATAGCAATTAAAAACATCTTCACGCATACATACTCTAGTTTTCTGAGTCAGTAATCAGAGCCACAGGAAGTTATACGATGTTTCCACAGTCATTCAAGCCAGGGAAGCCTATTAGAGCATTTATTTATTTATTTATTTATTTTTATTTTTATTTTAAAAGCAAAGATAGGGGCAAGGGATTTAGCTCAGTGGTAAAGCACTTGCCTAGCTAGCATGAGGCCCTGGCTTCAGGCCTCAGCACCAAAATAAATAAAAAAATAAATAAATAAAATTTAAAGGCATAAAGCAAAAAATCTGAACAAAACATAGTTCTTTAATTTATATCATGTTGAATGTGATCTGCCTATTCCACAACGTCTACTTTAAAACCTTCCAAGGTTACATAAGGCAGGAAATTCAGCATGGATTTTTCTGTTCCAGAGACGTGGTAATTCCCACGGGCGTAGGCGCCTGGGTGCAACACGTGGGCTGGAGAGATGAGCCAGTGGTTTGACCTGTGTGGCTGGTAGGTATCCGTGCCGAAGCATTCTCTTTAATCTCACTAAAGATACATTGTAAATGTTTTCTTCACTAAGAAATTGATGTGTCAACTCCTAATTCATCTTTACATTTATTTTTTGTGGATTTTTATCAGTACACGTTTGCAGTACAATAACTCTCACATTCCCTGCAGGGAGTTGGTGTACACACAGCGCATATTCTTTTTTTCATCACCTTGCCTGGCCCTCCCTCCTCTCCCTTCCCCTCCCTCCATCTCTTGATCTTCCCATTTGAGAAAGCGCTCTCTCTCTCTCTCTCTCTCTCTCTCTCTCTCTCCTTCCTATTATCTAGCTTTTATTTTGCTCTTTATATTTTGGGTTTCTCTTGTAAGACAAACCATGTAGTATTTTAAAGTCATCTTTAAAAACTTCATTAAAAACGTGTCCACACTGTCATTTTTTTAAACTACAATTTTAAAAAACTGAATTATTAAAGTTTCAAGTAGACTTTATTTTCACATAAACCTAAATTCAACAGCAGCTCTGACCTTGAGATCTGAATAATACATGTTGTGCTTTTTAAATCTTTAATGAATGTACTTTTCATCCTCAAAGAATATATTTCTCTACCTGCATGCGCCATGAAAATCTATAAAAATCCGGGGGTAGAGTGGTGGGGGGAATTATCCATCTTTGTATTTTTCTATTTTTAAAAAGATGCTAACATCTAGGTTGACATTTATTTGCAAGTTTCATTAGAGTAGAATGCGAGAAATATCTTGGCATCACAGTTCTTATTATAGCTTGTACATATACGCAAATAATGAAAATAGAAATAGAATGAAATTGTCAAAGTTGTTCCTGTTTCCCTTGCTGGTAAACTGGCACATCTCCTTTTTATTAATGTATTACGTATGAAAATCAATACATCCACGGTTTTTGGCTCAGAACACCAAGAAATGCAACTTTAAAAACTAGTTTTAAGGGCTGGGGAATTAGCTCAGCGGCACCGTGCCTGCCTTTCAAGCTCAAGGTCCTGAGTTCTATCCCTGGTACCAAAACAAACAAACAAACAAACAAAAACTAGTTTTAAGCATTTACAATTAAACTCCTAAATCAGAGCAGTATTTGTTGTACTGTGCCATGATCAAAATGATAGCATTGTACCAGCGGTTATAAAAGTTGTTCCGGAGTCTCCAGCGCCTAGATGTTACCTCTTTCCTTTACCCTGGGAAGAAGTAGTGTTGTGCTTTCTTTTCACCAGAAACAGCAAATTAACAACAACAACAACAAAATTATACGTTACCACCTTGAACGCAAAAAAACCAATGCTTTGGAGAGCTGACAGTGTATTCTATAGATACATTTTCCATAAGCTACGAAAAAAGAGAAATCACGTTACAAAATGTATTACAAAAATAAATTACATATTATGTGCCCGTGGACCTGAAGGCTTTGCAAAAGGAGATATTTCTCTTGACGCAAAGATTCAATCGCCCTTGCTACCTATTTTCATGGTATCAGCAAGGCTACTTTGAGCTTTTACATTATATCCTCCCCCCGAAAATCACCGGAAGTAGTAAAATATTTCCAGTCATAATCAGTAGCATGGAGGATCTCTGAGACGACGGAGGCTGCCGAAATACTTTTCCGCTCAACAGGGATTCGTTCGCAGAAGCCACACGTCCAGTGCGTGCTGGGTTTACCAGTTCATCTAGAGTTCATCCGCAGCTGGTGAATGATGACGCTTTCTACAGAGAGGAAAGACAGCATTGTCAGTTCACGTGTAACTCAAGCGGTGGCTGATGTAAGGACCTACACCACAGCACTCCACCAAAGGTTGTAAATGTTAAATGACAAAACAAACAAAAACAAGTACATGAGCCCAGTTCTCTCTGTGCAGTACTCTGCTATCTGGGGTGCCTTCTCTATATCGGCTTAGCTACTTTCAGTCTAAAATCCCTAAAGGCCTTTGAAAACCATGTCTGCTATTTTACCAATGTTAAGAAAATATTATTTAAGGAAAGAACTGAACAAAAAGATAGTGATTACCATATACCATCCTCATAAAGGAAAAACAGACTAAAAGTGGCACCTCATGTCAAAAACTCAACTCTCGCCACGATGCTGGTCGCAAACTGAACTGGATGAGAACCGAATCAAATTTCCCCAAAAGGTCAACGCTGAACCTAACCATTGAATTTGATTTTGTCCAATTCAGTTGGCAGACAGGGTTGAGGAAAGAACTAAGTTCCTGAACAGAGGTACCAGTTATTTCCTATAACTGTTTTCCTGGCCAAACTCTTTCCATTCTGAAAAATATTCACACCACTTTAATTTCATTTTTTAAATGTACTTGCGTCAAAGTTTTAGCAAGAAGATATCCATTCTTTCTTCCTACGAAGTCAATAGACCTGGATAACTCACTTTCCCTCTGGCTCCTTTTTGCTTAACAGTAAATGCTTTTAAATCTAAATTCATTCTTACCAGTAAGAAATGGTTGAGATGGTAATTCAAATAGGCTGCCACATTATGGATTCTTAATATTTATTTTTTTTTTTTGCTTTATATTAATTTGTATGCCTGCATGAACCTGTATCATCACTTTTTCACTCAGTCCTTTGAAAATCTGGCACTGGGGTGGCACCCTGTGCTAGTCATGGAACATCACTGGAGTTATATAAAGCAGAGGAAAGAAAATAAGCCTGAGATGATTTCTCCACCTGTAAACTGTATTGCTTCCTGTCAAAATATGGCAGTGTTGTGATTGCAGAAACATGTCAATTTTCATCAATAGCATGCAGAAGGTTCCACCTATTATTTTCACTTTAATCTCAATAATCTCCTACTTAACATTTTATATTGACTTCAGTAATTAATATCTAAGTAAACATGAATTTAATCATAGCCACACAGACCTAGAGGTGCACACTAATTCTGTACAGTGGATGATCTGACAAAAAGAAAATGTTTTCTATTTGGTTTCATTAGCTTTACCTCACAACGGCCACTAGGTGGCGATCTTTCCACTCTTTTCTTCAGCCCTTTGGCTTCAATGCGAGGGAAAACATAAAAAACAAAGTGGAATATCCAAATGTCTTATTTTCTTAGTCAGATTTGGCTATGAAAGTTTTATAAATCTTTAAGCTATATATACAATTTTTCACTATACTAGGAACTTAAAAGTTATCTCATTTCTTTTCACAATGAAAAGTTATCCTAGCTTCAAGTTCTTTAAACATGTAAAAATGTCAAAATCTTCAGGCAAAAGTAAAAAATTAAATTGAATTAAAAGCACCCAGTATTATGTAGTTAAAAAACAGAGTCTAAGATCCAAATGTTATTTTTACTAGATATTTTTTTAAAAACTTTCTACAGTAGATGTCACAAAATGCACAATGAAAACACCTATCAATTCCCTTAATAGAATTAAGGTGCTTCCCGTTTCCCGTAAGAAAGCACAGGAAATAGATCAAGAGTGGAATCCATAACTGTCCTCATTGTAGATGCAATTCAGAATGCTTGTGCGTTTGTTTCCTTTAAACAAAATTAGGGTACAAGAAATCATTTCTAATGTCCCCTACAGGGTTAATACTTTGTGCTTTTGCAGTATCTTCTTTCTTCTTGAGCACACAGGCTTCTTAACTCCTTGAGTTGCCTTCTCTTAGCTCTAACGTTTTGCAATCACCATAACAACAGCTATTGAACATCAGTTTTTGATGAAAATACATATAGCAAAGGGCTCATACACAGAAAAAAATGTTTATTTCACCATTACATTTCAGTATTTTTAAATTCTCAAACCAGTAATCCATATATATGGAGATATAGAGATGGATATCTCAGAAATAGTTAATAATGCCAAAAAACAGGTTACTGTGTATAAATTCTACTTTGATAAAATACAGTATTTAATATTTATGTACATAAATCTTATTTAAAAGAATACAATTAAGTCCAAATTATCTTGTTTTATATACATGGAAACATATTTCTAGAAAGAATGAAACAAAAGCTATATGATAATTTTATTAATTGAAGCTTATAAAACATGTATTAACCCTATAGTTTCTTATTATATATTCCCCAAAGCTCAGCTGAAATTACCTAGATAAGAATCACTCAGTCAATACATAAAATTGTGAGAAATAAATATTTTATACCAATGAATTTTGAAGTAACTTATTACATAAAAATCTCTCTGATATATATATATATATGAATATGGAAGTCATAGTTGCCAAGCAATAAAATAAATAAATGCTTCAGAGATTAACATCATTATACTTCTGTAATAGTAAGAGCAGAATTTCAAATCTCTCTTTTTTATATAATTTAGTAGAAGAATGTACATTAAGTACAATTTATTGAACTTATAAACTTAGCAAATTGTATTCTCTCTCAGACTCTATCTTCATCTCACACCCCCAGAACAAGACCAAGTACAAGTCATTTGGGCCTCCAATGTGAGCTCAGTACAATCAGGTATAATCCGGTAATTACTTTCTTCTTTTTTATTTTTATTTTTTTGGTACTGGGGATCAAACTCAGGACCTTGTGCTTGCAAGGCAGGTGGTGGCACCACTGAGCTAAATCCCCAGCCCTCTTCTAAATACATTTTTCTAACATTAGTAATTTGTAGGGCATTTAATAGGCAGATTGAGACCAAAAGTCACAGTTAATTATCAGCTTTATCAGCAGCCTCTTAAAAGAAACACTTAAATTTGGAGTCTTTTGATACACATTTTAAAAATATAATTTCCTTTTTAAAAATCAGAGCAACAAAAAAAACATCTCTAACTGCTAGTCTGGGATATGTATGAGGGACATCAAATTTTTATATGCTTTCGACAGTCACAATTACCAATTACCAAAGTGCATTTACAGACACTTCCCCGCACTGTATATGGTTCTCACAAGTGTGATCTTGCTGCTTTTTCCCTAAGAAACTACAGGTAACGAGTTAAATACATTAGTCATGAGCATGACATTATTGTAAAATGACGTAGTTTGTTAACTCATTCTTTTAGATGAGTCCCATGTAAAGGGAATTCAATAGCATCGATTTCTAATTGCACTTGATTTCTGACCTTACTAACTACTCGTCCCCTTAGGGTGGTATCCCAAACTGCTGGCCAGCCAGAGGGCTTGAGTTCCAAAGCTGTGTCCTGTGACCGAATTCAAGGAGAAATGGATGGGGGGGGCATCTCTTGAGTGGGTGGGACAATCTCGCCACAAACTGGAACTCTGTTTCTCCCCAGGAGAGCTCCTTGGCTATGGAGTGGGAAAGACTTACTCCCTGCAAAGTCAATACTCCCCTCCCATGCCCTGCACGTGTTGTTACCCTGCCAGACTCTCAGCAAGGGAACTCTTGAGGTGCAATTGTAAAGGTCTATCGGTCAATTAGACAGCATCACTTCAATAAATAAGGCCTGAGCTCACACACCAAAGACAAAATACTTTTATAGCAGAAGCTCAACATATTTGCATCCGTTGAGGATGGCTACTTAATTCACAAGAAACTGCACAGCAAGTAACAGAAAGCATTTCCTCTTGGATGCTTCATCCGTGTGCCTGGGAATCGCCTGCTTCCCAGGCCCACATCTCTGAGCGGCTTTGCCGGGGAGACACTGGGGCAGCTCAGGGACGCACTGTTCTTCCAAACCTCAGCTTTGAACTTGCTGCCCTTAGGGCATTTTACACACACACACACACACACACACACACACACACACACACACGCATTACCTGCTTACTGTAAATTTCTCATTTTCATTAACTGCTCCAGGATGCAGGCTGCTTATTATCACATTCAAGAATTAATCAGAGTTCTAATAAAACATCTGTTTTAAATAGGAAATTCAACAAACTTCCTCTGTGCACTTGGATTTATATTCCTTCTTTTGGACTCAGCTCAGCTAATTAGAAATACTTCCGATAATCAGTTTTGTCATTTGCTCCGGAAAACTTTGGAACCAGATGATACACACTTCTCTTGGGGTTTCTCAGCCACCAAATTGTCTGTTTGCTTCCTCCCAAAACAATTTCCCATTCCGTCATCCATTCCAAGCATCATTACCTCCCCAGACTGCAGGACTTACCAATAACGGAGCCTCCTGGATACAATGCTATTTCCAAGATACAGGCGAACGGGAACTGATGACCTCATACACCATAACCTCAACCGTACACTAAATGGTGTAAAAATATTTAAGCCAAGGATGATCAGGTCCTATTCTGTGGACACAAATGCTAAGTATTTTAAATCTGACATTAAGTTTATAACTGATTTTTGATCCTGATTTCATCAATAAGATAGGAGAAGCCTCAGGAATTTTCTTGTTTAATGTTTATTCAGGGACAGGGCTTTTTGTTGTTTTCTCCTTTAGTAACAGAGATAATTGTCCTCTTGACTTCTAAGGCCTGGTCCAGCTCCATTGAGCTCGGTCATTTTGCAACTGTGTTCTTCACATATACGTAACACTGGCACGAGCAGAGAGTACTTGTACTTTTACCATATAAGTAGCTGCTCGCTAGGAAAATTAATCATTGGGAAAAGTGCCGCAGAAGGGTCTTCTAAACTGCTTTCAAACAACAGAGAAGTATATCATATGGTGACTAGGGAGGAATGCTAGAATCATAAAAGATTATAGTAAACACTAAACCATAAGCCATTGTGATTTGCCAAAGGTGATTCGGCCCTATTCTCCTGTGACCGGAGAGGGAATGGCTCTAGTCCCTGGGTTAGCCCTCTCAATGATCCAGTGTTTACCTACGTACCTACTCTGGATGTTCGCTTCAATATCTGCCCTACTTAATACCATTGGATAACAATTGTAGGCCTAGAGGATGACCTGCCCAAATAAAGCAGGGAAGCAGAGGGCTGCACTAGGAAGGCTTCCAGGGGGAAATGTGAAACCAGAGCGTTTAAGTGTTTGGAAAAATTACCAGTAAGTTTTCAGTTGATCTAATTGAAGGCATGGGAAAAAATGAAGACGGATACATAGAAAACCAAACATGAAAAATGAAAGCAATTATTCTTTTGAAGGGGGAGACATGGTAGGAAGAGAGAGTTCACTCATAGTATACTACCTGGCTCAGCCAGGAACAATATTTAAGTTTACATTGTACACATATAAATCTATAAACGTATAAATACTGGCTGCTGATACATCCAAAAAGTTGTGACGTAACCGTACTGGGAAGATGAGTAAGAGGGAAGCGAAGGGACAAGAGAGAGAGCTGAATCTTTAGGGTTCACAATAACAATGGAAAGTCAGAGTGGGCGTTAGTCACTCACTCTCCCATTGCTGGGACAAATTATCTGAGCCCACAACTTGAGATGGAAAGGTTTGTGTGGGCTCACCGTTGTAGAAGGTTCAGTGCGTGGCTGACCAGCCCCAAATCTGAAATCGCACAGGGGAAGAGCTGGGTAGAGGAAGGCTGCTCACTCTTTAGTAGGCAGGAATCAGAGAAGAGAGGGAGACACAGGAACAACCTTCCAGGTCACACCTTCAGGGACTGCTTTCTCTCAACCAGATCCCACCTCCGTATAGTAATTCAACTACGAATGCACCAGTGGGTTAAAACCCTTGTAAATATAGGGTCGCCGTGATCTGCTACTTTGCCAAAGCCCCATCTCTGAACACGAGCCTTTGGGGGGAACTTTTAGCTCCAAACTGTAGCATTCTGCTGCTTCCTCGCCCTCAAAAGGCTCATTTCAATCTCATTATGTAAAATACATTTAGTCCATCTCCAAGAGTCATCAAATTCTTTTTTGTTTGTTTGTTTTTTTGGTACTGAGGATTGAACTTGGGACCTTGGGCTTGCCAGACAGGCGGTGGCACCACTGAGCTAAATCCCCAGCCCTCAAATTCTTAATGATTACAGCATTTCTCAAAACTTCAAGTCCAAAGTTTCCTCTGCGACTCAAAAATTCTCAGCTGTGAGACCCTGTAAAAATCAAAAGGAAAGTTAAATAGTTCCAACTACAACACTACAGAGTAAACATTCCATTCCAAGAGGGAGGACTAGCCGCACAGAGAGCAATCGGACCAAAGCAAGACTGCAACTCATCTGAGAAAACATTAAATCTTGTAACACTACGTCCAGTATCTGAGTCTGAGCACAAGCCTCAGTGATCTCGCAACTCCTGCATTTGGCCTGCCTGTAAAAGCAGCACCACTACAATAGTAGATTGGCCCCCTTGGCCTATTCCTGCTGCAGCCACTGAGTGCCTGGATTCATGAACTCAGGGAAACAGTTACCTAGGCCTACGTGTCCCTAAATGAGCAGGGCACCCAGGGCCTCTCATCAAAGCAAAATATTTTACCCTTTTATGGCCCTGAGCCTGTTATGCAGTGGGGCCCAGCCACTTTCTGAGATGCCCTCAAGACATCTGTCTTCCTGACCTGGTTCAAAATGGGTGCTAATCTGTTCAGTGCACTCTCATTGGCCACAACTTTACAGATACTCCCTTTCTGACAAAATCTGCAAAATCTTTCAAATCCTTCACCTCTGCTTCTTGCTCCTGATTCTCACTGTAGATCTGGTTAAAAGCATTCAGCAGTGCCTATGCCACTGTCTGAATGCAGGGATGTCTTGAAATTTCCTCCCAGATCAATTAGACTGCCACTTTTCAATTTAGTCTCACACTAAGTCTTAGGTCATAGGCAAAATGTAGACAAGGTCTCTGCCGGCATGTAATGCAAATGCCCTGTAGTCCAGCTTCCAGTAGAGTCACTGTTCCTATCTGAAACCTCCTGAGCCTGTCCTTTACTGTCTGCATTCCTATCAGCATTCTGGTCTTTTGAGTTTCCCCCAAAATCATCCACTGAGTTCTGCTTACAGCATTCTAGGGCTTCTCTAGTCCACAATGTTTCTAAACACCCTGAAGAGCCAGTTCCAAAGGCTTCTGAACCACATGGTCGGGTACAGCTATAGCAATAACCCCAGTTCTCTGGTACCAGTTTTCTGTATCAGCCACTTTCCTGTTGTTGGGATTAAAAAAACTGGACAACCAAAACTCAAAGAGGTTTATTTTACACTTGATCTTAGCCAAAAGGCGGCGGCACGATTAAAGAGGTTTATTTTGACTTATGGGTTCAAAAGGTTCAGGCCATGGTCAGCTGGCTCCAAGACGGAAATGCCGTGATGGAAGGGCATGGTGGGGAAAAGCTGCTTCATCCATAGGAACTAGGAAACAGAGTGGAGGAAGCAGCTGGGGAGAAGAGCACCCCCTCCCAGGCACACAGCATCAGTCACCCACCTCTTTCAACCAGGCCCCACCTCCCGAACATTCAGCCACGAACTCATCGATGATGTAATCCTCTGGTGAGTGCGGCACTTCCATGGTCCAATCACCTTCCAGAGCCCCAGTCGTGGACACGTAATTCTGACATTTCAGAACTGAACCCTAACAGAGCACAGTACGTTATTTAGTAATATGTAAGTAAATGCCAGAAAGAAAAAAAAACAGCTAAAGGTTGAAGGGGTGGGAGGCGCTTACACATTCAGGGGAAGACGTAAGAGACATCTCTGTTTGCACTGACTTTGACCACTGGCTGACATTTTAGTGATGTGTATTAAATCCTTTAAGAAAATGTAAAAGTTATTAAAGAATAAATGGAAAGTGTGACCGCAGAGGCAGAAAATGCTGAGTGTTCTGTTGACAGCTTACTGGGCATGGAAGGAGAAAGCACAGCAACCACATAGGACCGAAGAGCTGAAGGAAAAATTTGCTAAAATGAAAGCTACTAGACAATATTTCTATCCTGTGTGGGTACAACAGATGAAACGGCAGAGAACAAAGAGATAAGCAATAAAACCCTGGAGGAGGAAGTCGAAAGAAAACTTTGTCTTGATTGCAGAAAATTTAGAATCATTCATTCCCAGTCACTGGAAAATTCTCCCCCACCTCTCTCCCCTCTTTCCCTTTCCTTCCTCTTTCCCTTCCAACCTATGACATAATGATGGTGTTTCCACGTTTCTCCTTCTCTTGCTCCTGTTCCTGCTCCTCCTCCCTCCCTTTGTGGCACTGCGAACCGAGCCCATGGTCTCCCACGTGTGTGAGCACTCTACCAAGGACTTACACACCCAGTACTCATGCGCTCCTCAGACCTACAACCTCACGGCCGCCCCACTCGGGAAAGGCTCACTCTTTCTCCAGTATTCCGCCTCAGCGACGGAATGTGAAATTCAAGCCTTTGAATTTCTCGGATATGTTTTCATTTTACTGAAATGAAATGTTTTTATTTCACTCACACTGTAAATCAAAGCTATTGCATTTCCTTCTCGGAAGCATTCAAGTAGTAAGAGGTCTGGTAACCCCCAGAGACCCGGTAACACCCTTGATGAATACAACACAACCTCTACAGAGAGCCCAGCTGCACCCATTTACTATAACAGAAATGCCAACAGAAACTGAATAATCCTATTTAAGCAGATTCCCTAGATGAGAAACTCACATTCTTAAGACATGACAAACACTCTTATGGTCATTGTACATATCAGAGCATTTCTGACACTATAGATGTAGGGGCCACTATCAGAATGTGCTAAAGTAGTCAACACATTACTATTCGAAGGTAGGGAAGACCAGGGTCTTCTCAGCAGCTCTGTAGATCGTGCCCTGAATGTCCAGAGAAGCCATCTAACATGGAACTGTGGAAACGGCTAACACTTCCCACCCAGATCCCCAGCCCTGGAGGTTTTCAGGGTGGGATCTGAGTTACAGCTGCAGACATCAGCTAAGGTAAAACTCCTTTGATTTTACTACACAGCATGTTTCTGGATAGAGAAAAGCATCTAAACTTTTAATTCAATCCCCCTCTACAAAAGCATATTAAACCGAATATATTAAGAACATAATCACAGGCCAGGCATGGTGGCGCACACCTGTAATCCCAGCCCTTGGGAGGCTGAGGCAGGAGGATCGCTGTGAGTTCGAGACCAGCCTGGACTACGTAAGTGAGTTCCAGGTCAGTCTCAACTACATAGTGAGACCCTGTTTCAAAACAACAACAAAAGGACATAATTGGGCCGGGGATTTAGCTCAGTGGTTCCGCCGCCTGCCTTGCAAGCCCAAGGTCCAGAGTTAGATCCCCAGTACCAAACAAAACAAAAAAAAAGAATAAAAGAACATAATTACAATTGGAAGCTGGAGTCGGAGTGCATTTAATCCTTCACCTCCTATCCCCAGTGGATGTCATTTCTAACATGTGGTTTAACACAAAGCTATCCAATAAATGTCAATTTGGTTCCAAAATTACAAAGAAAAATTGCTGCAACCGTTTCTCTTCATGATTTTTAAAAAGCGACTCTGTGTCGTGATGCAAAGTTTTCCTAGAAGTTGTCCTTTGCAGGTGCTCTTCGCCCAGATCTCGATGTTCAAACTTCCTGTTGTATGCACTGTCAAGCCTTTCAGGATACTCCTGAGTGAACGGTATGGACTTCGAGGTGGAAATGATGTCAACGTGTGAGCGGGGAGAAACAGAAACGCCGGAAAGCGGCACTAAGATTAGGCGAAAACCATCAAGGAATGGCAGGTGGAGCCTCAGGGAGTACAGCGTGGTCCTTTTGATAGCCTCACTTGCTGTAACATTTCATAAATGCCAGGGAGGTATTAATGAAAAGCAGTGAATGCTTTTGTCTTTGAAGAGGCCGGATGCCCAGATTTTGGGAGGGGGGACATTCCATCGAAAACATACAATTCAAAGTGGCAAGCTATTTTGTGTAAATTCGTTTAAAATCATATTTACTAAGTCCCCTCATCACCCCCACCAATTTGACCTTGCATTCTCATTCCCGTGGCATGAACATGACCATTCAGTATTTTTAATCCGGATGTTGAGAACTGACGAATAAATGGTGACGGATCCGAGTGAGTGCATGTGAACAACACCATGAGATGGCTACAGGTATCGTCACCATGGTTCAGGCCCCAATTCTGCAAGACAGGTGAGATCGGGTGTGGAAAAGAATGCAGAGGAGCTCGTCACGAAATAAGTCCATTTGTAGATGTGGCTGTTAACCTCGAAGAATCACCTTCATCGGGCTAAGAAATGCCTGGCATGCTCTTACATACATCTGGATGGGCCGTGGAGGGATGACTTTGGGTACTTAAAACCTGGTCCCTGGCCTCTTCCCCTCTGGCACTGTTCCCTTGCTCCTCTTCTGGGATGCCATGAACTGAGCAGCTGTGCTCTACCCCACCTTTCCACCATGATGCTCCTGCCCTGTAGCCAGCCGACCATGGACTGCATCTCCTGAGACCATGAGCTAAATTAAGTCTTTCCTTCTTTAAGCTCCTGATATTGAGTGCTACCTCTCAGTGATGGAAAACAAACCAATACAATGGACTAAGACCTAGTCTTTTTTTTTTTTAATTTTTATTTTATTTTATTTTTTTCCTTCTTGGTACCAGGGATTGAACTCGAGACCTTGTGCTTGCGAGGCAGGCGGTGGAACCACTAAGCTAAATCCCTGGCCCTCTTATGTCTTTTTTGATACACCTTTTCCCAAATGTCAAGATCAGAAACTATCTATATAATTTTGAAACACTAACAATTCAGAAATAGAAAATCAAAAATCCATAACTCTTCAGTTATTATATTTTTGTAAAGTTCACCTACTTGGCCTAAACACTTTGGCAAAGCTAAGGCTACAGGAGACTTTGGTGTGTGAAGCGGCAGGTTCCTAGCCTTGAGCTCATTTGTGCTTACGGGACTCACAGCACAAAGACCTAACGCGGTTAATCTCACAAGGACATGTAGTACTTTGCACTCACACTCTTCTCATGCTTATTAAAACACGCTTAACTAAAGAAAATGATTCAAATAAGAGTAAAGCTGACAGGAATACAAACGTACTCCACACCACACAGCAAACACAGATACTTACACACCCACTGCAAATCATGAACTGGTTCTGTACTTACAAGTAAAGTTCAAAATATTTGCACTCAATTACACTGTGAAAAATGCCATCCCCACCCCCCAGCATTAAAGTAGCTGAATTTTCTGCTATTTTTCTGCTATTTTCTATCCGTCACAATTTTGGTTGAGCTGCAGTGCCACTTGGCAACTCTATTCAAACAGCTCCACAATCTGCAGCCACTGCAAACTTGAATGGAGCACGAGCCTGACATTATGATTCTAAAATTACTGTCTGTGAAGTTCTGGGAATCTTTTGGAAGTGTCCAAAATTTCTACAATGCACACAGACACACACAAAGAAGTCAAACTCTGTTTTTAGGATTCCATAGTTATTTCCATTTTATTTCATATTCAAATTATTTCCTGAAACCCTATTAAAGACTTTCTTTTTCATGTCTGCAAAATTTCAGTGCTCCAGGTCCTGAAATAGCTATGAGATTTTTTTTTTCCTCAGCCCATGTATCAAATTCAGGATTGGGTAGACAATTGTTAAGCTGTGTCCTGCTCCATATAGGGTTTTTTGGAAAAAAAAAAATTATTGTAGAATGAAGTCTTTTAAATTTTGCTTATGACTAGAAAACATGAGAGCCAGCCTTCAAGAGCATGTGATTTAGCCCCCAAACCTGCTGAGGAGGAAACTGAGGGCTTCCTTACTGGCGGACTGACTGACAGATCCAGTTGCTAGAAGCAGAACCGAAACTAGCGGCCTGGCCCTTCCTCTGGCCCAGCGACCCCAACATACCGCGCGGCAAACAGGTAACTAATTCTGTCCCCCAGCACCAAAACAAATGCACAAAATAGAAAAGACACATGGCTATTAGTTGATTACTTCATAAGCAAGATCTTTAAAACTTAAGTTAGTACGGATCAAGAGTTGGCACGAACAGGCGAAGTTCGTTTCCGCAGCAGCGGTAGCATCTGCACAACATACCCCCGCAGCCACTGCCCTCAGCCCTTCCCCACTCCGAGAGAGGTAGTGCTGCTGGCTGCAGATTTCTTCAGCTCTATTTTCATAGACTGAGTCTCAGCTCGAGCCTCGAATTTGGTCAGATTTCCTGCTCCTGGAGCTGCCACTACTGGCTTTCCTGCTTTCATACCTTTTGACATAGGAATGCGGGTGGGTGCAGGCCGCTGGGATGACCCATCTTGTCCCGACTGGAAGAGAGCACAGAGACACAAGGGAGATGCCGGTGAGTTTCCCGCAGATAGGACATCGGTCTGAGCATCAGAGGACTCCCAAGACACAGGAACACCCGCAGGTGAAGGACGGCAAGAAGCTCAGAGTCTACTCTGCTCCCATTGCCTCCCTCTTCCCCGTCTTGAAACATCTGTGCTGCGCTTACTCCTAACACCTACCTCCCAGTGCAAATACAGACCACCAGGGTCACCTCTGCTCCCCCCTTGTGCACTTTATCCTGTCCACCCGTGCAGATGAAGCAGCTCCCTTTTGCCTCCTGAGGACACCGACTCCTCTCAGCTTTTACGGTCACCGCCGACCGCATCTCCCTTCTTAAAATGTTCCTCACTTCCTCTTGCTGTGCTTTCTGAAGTGCATCTCACCAATTCTCTTCCAGTCTCTTATGATCGTTTTTCATGCTCTTGCTCTCTTTGTTCTGCCCTGCTTGTCTTCTAAATGTGTCACCGTGTCCTATTCCCAGCCCTTCCTAAACTTTTTACCTTTACCCCGAGAATCCCTTACTTATTTCCCCACCTGTCCAAGCCCTAGGACCTCTAGCTTTCTGAAACACAGATCTGTATCTCCAACTATGCACTGGACTGAACGGCTGCCCTGGCATCTCCACGCTTAGCCTCTTCCCCACTCAGCCCTCCTCTGATTCCCATCCCGCCCACCTAGAAAACCAGGCCAGAAGCCCCAGAGCCGCCCTCCTGCTTTTTGTCATTCACCATCTCTGTCCTCATTTTTGCTGCCATAGTTCAAGCCTGCACCATCTCTAGCCTAGAGAATCAAACAGCATCCCTCTTGATGATTACCCTTCAAGGGTCCCCCTTATCTACTCTGTAAAACTAAATACAACTTCATACTAAGAGGAGGCCCACCCTCAATAGCTGGCTCCAGGATGCATCTCCATAGTTTGCCACCCAACACCCAGCCACTGAAGGCCACAGGGTGGCCCAGTGCTCGCCAAAAGACTGGGCTGCTCTACCGTAACCTGACTTGGCAGTGTTTTGCCTGCACACGCCTCCCCGTTCCCTCCTGGAAGTCCCTCCATACTGTGAAGCCTTCTCCGGCGGCTCCTTCGTGCACGCTTCTGCCACAGAACCACCAGAGATCCCAGTCCTGCCTCTCCCACTCAGTCAAGAACTATTAAAGTCCCCTTTGCACACCAGAACCATGGCTGAGGTGAGGCTGACGCTCAATGCGTGCAGCATGAAAATATGCACATTTGAAACTAGCCTCACGACACAATAAAAGTGTGTCCTACACCTTTTGTTCTCCTTGATTTGATGGGATCTGATTTACCTAAAATAAATGGGCCACCATTCAGGCCTTGGAAATCTTAGTCGTTTTGAAATGCTATTTGTGTATGGGTTTAAGCAGTAGTCAAAAATATTGCTACTAAGGCTATCTTGATTGGAACCTGAAAATGGAAGTAAGAGTTTAAGAGCAAAACATCTGCTGTGACAATGACTTATGCCTCTATTTTTAAAATAAAATGAAGCCATAAGAAGCAAGATTCTATTGCAATTATGCTGTTCCTAAAAAGCACTACTGAGTTATTGGAGAAGGGTGAACAATTCAGAATGTGATTTGGCTTCTTAGGAACCAATAACTTAAGAGTAAAACAATTAGTGATTCACACTCTGAAGTTTGTTTTGAGGACGTGCTTGTGTACAGGGAATTAACATAAATTACACTGATAAGGGAAAATAAGCCACCATTTGTAAATTTAAATTATTAGCTTCCTATCTTAAGGTATTTCAATTTATACTATCTAATTTATTCAGAATAGGAGTCACAGTTTCTAGTCTATTTGCCTAAATTAATATCTAAACAGTTCATGTTCTATAAGAATTGTAGCCTGTCAAAAACAATTATTGGAAACATGTTGAAAATATTATTTTTAAGCTCTAGATTTTGTACTTTGGACATACTTGTTATAATCTTGCCAGCTAGTTATGGAAATACTTTGCAGCAGTTGCTCTTTGCAAGAGATATGAATAAATAAAATAGAGTTTTTAGACACGTACATTCATTGTTCTTTTATTTTTTAGAAGTTTTTAATCTGAGCCAGCACGGTAGTACATGCCTATAATCCTAGTACTCTAAAAGGCTGAGGCAGAAAAATTGAAAGTTTGAGCCCAAACTGGACAATTTAGCAACTTTGTGAGACTCTGTCTGAAAAGGTAAGGGGGTGCCTAGGATGCAGCTCACTGCAAAGGCTTTGGGTTCAATCCCCACTTCTACACACACACAAAAGTTAATACAAAACCTTTTAATATTTTTGGAATAAAGTATGGCTATGGATATACATAGTCGCATACTGAATACTTTAGTATGTAGAAATATCATCTGGGAAGTCTGTTTCGTCGAGGCAGGGTTTCATATGTAATTCAGGCTGGCCTTGAACTTACTGTGTAGCCCAGGCTGGGCTCAAAATCACAGAGATCCTCCTGCATCAGCCTCTGGTGTGCTGGGATTACAGGCATGCACTATCATGCCAGGCCAATTTAGGAAGTTTTATTTCTTCCAACATATTAACCAGTTCCCTCAGTCTCCATTGTCAAAAAGTACTATATAGCTATACGATATATATATATATATATATACGTGTGTAA